AGTATAAAAAAAATGTTAATGCGAGATGAATGACAAAGCACGACACGTAAATTATAAAAGAATGAACGTTTCGATGAAATCAAATGGTAAGCTTGTTGAATTGTGTGTAAGACACGTATGCTAAATTAAAGGATTTCTGTAAAATCGATACACCGATCAGCACAGAATGTAACGCCTAATTCTGTCGGCACTGAAATGAGAAAACCTTATAAGAGCCGCTCGAACATTAAAAAAAAAAAAGAAAATCGTCTCTCTTTTCACGGATCTAAGAAAGTCTTTGGATTCGAGACATTCGAAAGTCTTATCGTAAATTTAATTCGCAATTTAATCTACTTCTTCCATTCTTGACGCTTCCTCTGACGCTTCACCCTCCAACGTGGGCACTTCCATGTCCATCTTCTCGTCCTCTGCATTCGACGTCTCCTCGTCGTCAAAACCCAGACCTAACTTGATCATCCTATATATTCTGGAAGCATGCACCTGCGGGTCTTCGAGGGCAAAACCGGATGACAAGAGTGCAGTCTCAAAGAGCAGCATGACTAGATCTTTCACCGACTTATCGTGCTTGTCCGCCTCAGCCTTTTGTCTCAAGTTCTCCATGATAGGATGATCGGGATTGATCTCGAGGTGCTTCTTCGCGGCCATGTATCCCATGGTGGATGTGTCTCGAAGTGCTTGCGCCTTCATGATTCTCTCCATGTTCGCCGTCCAACCATACTGCGATGTGACGATACAGCAAGGAGAGTCAACCAATCTGTTGGATACTACAACTTTCTCCACCTTCTTATCTAAGATGTCTTTCATGACTTTACAGAGGCTCTCGAACTTTGCCTTGTCCTCCTCGCGCTTCTTCTTCTCATCATCGTCTTCCGGAAGTTCTAAGCCCTCCTTCGTAACGGATACCAGCTGCTTTCCGTCGAATTCTTTCAGTTGTTGGACGACGTACTCGTCAATGGGTTCAGTCATGTACACGACCTCGAACCCACGCTTCTTCACGCGTTCTACGAATGAGCTGTTGGCTACCTGTTCCCTGCTCTCGCCAGTGATGTAGTAGACGTGCTTCTGGTTCTCCTTCATTCTACCAACGTAATCTTTAAGTGAACACATCTCATCGCCGGACGCAGAAGTGTGATAGCGGAGCAACTCTGAGAGCTTCTTCCTGTTCTGACTGTCCTCATGAATACCCAATTTCAGATTCTTGCTGAATTGCTCGTAGCACTTCTTGTAGTTCTCCTTGTCTTCCGACAATTCCTCGAAGAGCTCCAAGCACTTCTTGACAAGATTCTTCCTAATGACCTTCAGAATCTTGTTCTGTTGTAGCATCTCACGAGAAATGTTAAGAGGCAGATCCTCGCTGTCTACGACGCCCTTGATAAAGTTTAGATATTCCGGAATCAGATCTTCGCAGTTGTCCATGATGAAGACACGACGTACGTACAATTTAATATTGTTCTTTCTCTTCTTATTCTCAAACAGGTCGAAGGGCGCACGACGCGGAATGAACAGCAGCGCTCTGAATTCCAACTGTCCTTCCACGGAGAAGTGTTTCACAGCCAAGTGGTCTTCCCAATCATTAGTCAAGCTCTTGTAGAACTCGCCATACTCTTCCTGCGTGATGTCGTCCGGATTTCTCGTCCAAATCGGTTTTGTCTTGTTCAACTCCTCATCTTCAGTGTATTTTTCCTTGATAGTTTTCTTCTTTTTTTTCTTCTCTTCCTTAGGCTTATCCTCCTCCTCGTCCTCGCCGACATCTTCGATCTTGGGTTTGTCATCCTCTGCCTTCTCTTCTTCCTTTTTCTCTTCCTCTTCCTCCTCGTCCTCGCTCAGTTCCTTGTCACGTTCCTTCTCGACGACGAGCTTGATAGGATAGCCAATGAACTGCGAATGCTTCTTGACGATTTCTTTAATTTTAGACTCCTCTAGATATTCTGTTTGATCCTCCTTAATGTGAAGAATGATCTTGGTGCCCCGTCCGATCGGTTCACCATTGTCGGGACGAACCGTGAAGGAACCACCAGCGGAAGATTCCCACAGATATTGTTCGTCGTCATTGTGTTTGGAGATTACGATGACTTTGTCGGCCACAAGGTACGCCGAGTAGAAACCTACACCGAACTGTCCAATCATGGAGATGTCAGCACCTGCTTGTAGAGCTTCCATGAACGCCTTTGTACCAGATTTGGCAATAGTACCCAGGTTATTTACAAGATCGGCTTTGGTCATGCCAATACCACTGTAAAATAAAGAAAATTCAATTTAAAGACAACTGTTATATATTAATATATATAGTTGTCTTTAAATCGCATGTATATATTAGATCTGTTCTTTTTATGTCTCTTTTCACCAATGTAAATTAACTTTAATCTCGATTTAACTCACTTCTTATCTTTCTTTACTACTAAGAATTAGAAAAAGATAAAGAGTAAGTTGAACAAAGATGAAAATTTAACATTGGTGGAAACAAGAATTAAATTAATGCACTTCTTGCATCGTTCATTTTTTTCTTTCAACTTTCAGAGAGAAAAAGATGAATGGCACAAGTTTTAATTGGAGGCTTATTTCTATAAAAAAAAAAATCAATACTTACGAATCAAGGATCGTCAGAGTACGGTCGTTCTTGTTCGGTACGATCTTAATAAATAATTCCTTGCAAGTATCCAACTTGGATGGATCCGTGAGAGATTCATATCGAATTTTATCCAATGCCTAAAAAAAATTCATAAAAGATTTAATCGCGCCATCACTCAATTGTTTCTAAAAATTTTAAATCTAAAAAAATATTTAAAGGTTATCTCAAATGAGATCGACCCAATTTACAATATCGCTAAATTTTTTTTAACCCCCATTACTCGCACGAATTTTTTAAATGTAATTAGAGTATTCTTGACTTTAACATATCTCAATTTCCATTGTTCTCTTTCTTCAATGATTAAATAAAAATTGATAATATTCTTTTAGACAAAAACAAATACGTACAAAATTTTTTAATATTAAAATGTAAAAAAATTGAAAGAATTATACAAAATATTCCTCATTTTATTCTTAGACTTGGTTTCTATATCTAAATTTCTCTCTCTCTCTCTCTCTCTCTCTCTCTTTCTCCCTCTCTTGCAGAGATTATCTTCCCGTTTTTTCCTCCATATTGAAGAAAAAAAATAGAAAAGACAAACCGTTTCGCTAAAAGTAACAAATTCAAGGATAAAATGAAGTAAATGTTTCGTGTAACGCCTCTAATTTTCCTATATTTTTGTACCTTTGTGTATTTTCATATATAAAATACATCCCGAAAAAGAAAATCGTTGCTCAAATCTCGTTTTTCCAACTTTAAATTATTTTATATCCACGTAAAAAAGAATTTTAAAAAAATTATAAATTTTTCAATCACGAATTATTCTTTTGTTGCTCCTGAACGCTCTGGATGAAGTTTCCGAACGTGGCTATACGAAAGTTAACGAGATTAATTAACGATAACCTAAGATACTTACATCAGACGAGTTGGAGATCAATTCTCGGATGAAAATCTCCTTGTTCGAGTAAAAAGTGTTGATGATCAAGCTCATCAACTGAGCGATCTCAGCCTGGAAAGCGAAGGTCTCCACCTCGCCGGCGTCCGTCATGCTCACGTCCTCAGGCATTTTTCCACAAAATCAATTCAAACGGGAAAACGCCAAACGCAAGTATTGCGAGCAATCGTTAGAGATTGTCAGTCCGAATTGGGGCACACGATACGCAAAGAATAAATTACCAAACAGCTATCACCCGTCTAACGCGAGAACTGGGTAACGAATGACTCGCTCGCGGCGCGCGGCGTCGCTTTTAAACGAGCACGTCGAACACGAATATTCTAGAAGGCGCCGATGACGGAAGTTCGCCCGGCTTCTAGAACCTTCTATCAAGCGAGCGTTACGCGAGCGGGATCGAGCGGGAAATCTCGTCCACCGTCACGAATCACGTGGGTCGGAAAAATTGTCGGAGAAATTGACGCGAACGATTTTCCGAGCGAGAAACGTCCGCTCGGGTTTGGCTGGTCGCCTCGCTCGCGTGACTCGCGTGATTCGCCGGAAGTGATGACATTTTCTAAAGATCTAGAACCATCGCGATAGCTCCCGCGCTCTTCGGAAAGAGGTGGGGCGGACGCGCGCGTCCGACGTCCATGTGTACGTTCGTGTATGTGTGCATCGCGTACGATGCGATCGACCACATTTTTTGGAGCGTCTAGCCCTTTTTCTCGATGCGCCGAGGATGATTTTAGGGGCGTTAAATGTTTATACGTAAACGTGGGAATGTCTTTGGTTCGTTCGGTTTTCTCCGATTTCTTGGAACTGTTCTTGAAAATTTTTTCCGTAAATGTGGGTGATTAAAGTGGCCTTAATAGAGGTCCGATTCACGTCTGCAATGTTCGAAAATCGTTTTGTCCTCGTTGTTCGTCGAAACGATGTTTAAATAAAGACAAATGATGCTCATGAGGCTCTTTGTTTCCTATTTCTTGAATTCTTGCTTTTTATCTCTTCCCTGCAAAACTGACGTTATTTATTATTGTCACTTTGATGTCAGAATGACGCCTTTTCATTCATTACAAATTCGATTGTTATAGCAATGAGATACAGTTATTAGAGGGTTTGCTTGATTTATTTATACATCATTTTTCTGTACGTGTTTTTCTTCCGAAATTCGTCAATTTTTATTTCGGGCGATAAAAAGGTAAGATATAAAAAGAAAAGAGTACACTTTTTAAAAAAGATGATTCGTGGGCAAAGTGAGGGATATAATTATTTTTTTTAATCATTTTTTTTATACGCTAAACGTAAAAACACTTCAGAAAATGAAATTTCTAGAATATAATTTTTATTGATAATTCTCAACGATATATTTATTTATAAATTTTCAATAACTCATCCTTTTCCAATTCTATTAAAGAAAGATAAGTTAATCTACATTGGTAGATAACACGGATATTAAAAGACAACTCCAAGCACAAATCATTCTAGTTGCAACTTGCAGCTTGTATCAGCATTGCAACGATAATTAGCGATAATTAACATCCAAAATAATAAGAATATTTTCAAAATAAATCGTTATTCGTCGCTTTCGCGATTTCGTCTCTAGAAATTTCCTTTTCAACTGAAGAGATATCCTTTTAGATTTTTATTACTCGGAGTAATCGTCACAATAATTCAGCTCCAACGTGATTCGGCGGTTGGTGTCACTTTCTCGATATGCTTGCAATCGAAGGGAAGGTTAAGGTTAAAACCGACTGATTGAAATTCGCCGCGAAATCGTCCGTCTGTGACTCATCCGTGCTCCGTCTTCTTCAAGGAATCATGGATCCCGGCGTTCTGTCACGGCTGATTCCGCAGAGCAAGGAGCAGGTGAGACCAGCCTGCAAGAAATGCGGCTACGCCGGGCACTTAACCTATCAGTGTCGCAATTTCATCAAGATCGACCCCAACAAGGAGATCGTGCTGGACGTGAGTAGCACGAGTTCGGACAGCGACGAGAATTACGTCACCCCGTTGACGGAGCTGCGGGAGCGCGAGTTGCGGAAGAAGCTGCAGGTGGCGAAGAAAAAACGGCGGGAAAAGAAAGCTAGGAAGAAGCATAAGAAAAAACGCGAGAGCTCGGACAGCGAGTCCTCGTCGTCGTCCTCGTCCTCGTCATCGTCCAGCGAGGAAGACAAGAAGCACAAGAAGGGAAAGAAGAGGAAGAAGAACTCGAAAAGCAAGAAACACAAGAAGCACAAGCGGCACGACGATGACGATTCGTCTGATGGGAGCGAGGCAAAAGGTGATAGGGGGAAAAAATGAATTGTTCATAAGGATTCCCGATTCGTTTCCAGTTCCTTCTATCAATGAATATTGAATGATACGTGACAGTGGTGTTTTTTTAATCGTGTTATAATTCGCGCCCATTTTTCTCGTCTAAGGAATTGCCACCTTATTGTGTCCGCTGATACTTGAACTGACTTGAACTGTAAATAGGAACATACATTTTTTTCTACTTGTATAAAGAGTGACATTTGTAATAAAGAGTTGCAGTCTACAAAAACTGCTAAGGTTTTACGAAAGGAATCACACGTTTTTTTTATTATATTTAATTTAATTTTATTTTATCTAATCTCGTTTGTGACGATAAACGTAAGTTGAAGATGCTTGTTTAATCTTTTTCTGTTTTATATCTTTCACGTTTTATATAATAGTTGTTTTTATTTATAAATTTCTAAGAACAAAGATAACAATGTATTATAAACAGTTTCTTTTGAAAATGATTTTCTAAAATCTGGATTAAAACGAGAAATAGTATAATCTGCAAAATGATTTTTATGATATAAATTAAAACTTATTCAGTCTTTTTCCATCACATTTCATGGAGCCTTAAATAGTTGTTTAAAACAAGCATTATTTGCTTATTTTTCAAGCAGATTGACGATTCTTAATGGATTTTCTAATAAGTCATTACTTAAGCTTAATCTTGAGAAAAAAACAATAAGAAATTAATTACAGTCGAATGTGAAAAGAATAGTCATAATTGGTAAATTTTTTATTGATACATTTTAGTTATGACTGATAAATTTTTTATGGTTTAAGACTTGAAGTTCAAGTAATGGCTTATTATTGTAGAAAGCATATAATACTTATTTAAAAATGACAGTTCATTAGAATGAATCATATCAAGAATGGATGCAAAAAGACATGATTTTTCATCACATTCTACAGAATTTTGGAATCTAAAACGCAAATTTTTAAAAATGAAATGACTACATTATTATTTTTCTACGTTATATAAACATAAAGGTGACAAGTTATTTTTTTAAAAGTGATATTCTTAATCTTAGTTATCGTTACCGTCATACAAAATTGCAACATCATAAAAGCATTATTATAGAAAGTAACGCTAAAAATAACAGTTCACATCTCTATAAAGAAATAGCACAACTGCATCTGTAATATGATACAAATTAAAGATGTTTGTCCATTATTTTTCGTCACATTCCACAGATTTATGAATAATCTAAAGAAAATATTTTTTAGAAAAAATATTAAAATCGGAGCGAAGCTACACTAAATAATTTTAATCTGTTCGAAAATAATGATTTCAAAACAAGAAATAATATAATATTATAGTACCTGCGATAGATATGACGCAAGCTACAGATTGTTTTTTTTCTCGATTTTGTCATCACATTCTATGGAATTCTACAAAATTCTAGAAGGAAACATTACTTGCGTTTTCTAAAAGCATGGGAAGTGTGAGTGGGGATGCCCATATTAAAGTTTCCTAACCTATTTCATTAAAATTGTTAAATCTGTTCGTGTTGCTTGAAATCCGTAAAATTGTATGCACTTAAAAGGAACCTTAGGACCGGTTGTTCTACTTTTTGATCAATTATACCTGTCAGATAAATCTGGTAATCCGCGCTTGTGATTGGGTAATCTTGCTTCTTACCCAACAGATAAAATTTATCAAAAGGTGGAACAACTAGCCCTTAAATATATATTCGGGCATTGAAGAAAGAGAAACATTGTGGAACTTTTGCACCAGTGCATCTTTCTTCCTCTTCTGATGCAAAAGTTCAGCCAAAAAGAACAGGCCTAATACGAACAGACTTCATAACAAAACGAGAGAAATTCAATGGCTGTCGTTTTTTTCGGCCAATCCAATGCGTCGAAGCGGGAAAGCCATGAACGCGATTGGTTGAATCGTCGGCCAATCCGGTGCAAGAAGCCATCGATTTATTAGGATAATCCTAAGCAATGTTGAGGTTATATAGAAATTGTTGTGCTTTCTGTTATCTCTGGAGAGTTATCGCGATTAAATACTCCAAATTGATTTTAGATTTAATTGTCAACGAGAAAACTTGTATTCTATAGTAACTATCATAAAAAAATATCTAAGAAAAAAAGAATTCGTTTAACTTATCGTTTCTAACGTCGTTTATCTTCTTTCTTCTAAGAGGAAGGTTATGTTGCCACAAATATTATTGTAATATTAAATACATTATGCAATTTTTTATATTATATGATGTTTCCGATTACTCTAAAGGGAAATTAAAACGATAATGTCGTCTTTTGCGGTGTCAAGTATTCCAAACAGTAAACATTTCTATTTTAACCTCTGTGAGTTAGATAATTAAATTGAATCGATTAAGTAGTGGATAACAGCGGAGCAAGCTATGATGGAGGGTAGATCACCACGTTGCATACACATATACAAGCACAAGATGGAATACATCGGTGAGACAATAAATGAAAGGCTACATAAAGATATTATCATTTTATAGGAATCTTTAAATGTATTTAAATATTGCTATAAGAATTATTCAGGTGATAGAATTTTAGTTGCTATAAAAGATAAAAAGAAAAAAGATATATTGATTGAATTAAAACAACAACAGGTCCCTAAAGTTCCCAAGTTTGATAGCAACAATCTGATATTTATAGATGACAATGGCACCTCTAGGTACAAGAATACAGGTGTATTTTCTATACATACACTGAACGAAAATGAAAGAACAGTCTCACAGCAAAGGAGCAGATTATACTAAATAAATAGCAATTGCATCCAGATTCGTATAGTGTATCTATCTTGCCTATATATGTGTTAAATATTTTATTATAATGTTAATATTGTACTTACTTTAATATTGTACTTTTTAGTATTTTCCACAAAACTTGTAATATGGTGTATCATATATTCTGTGTATTTTATTGTATATTAATATTTTAATAATAAAATTATCACCTATTTTTTGTTATATATGCCCTAGGAGTATGTTCCACTTACACACGTTTGCAACGTTTATATCATTATATCATCTCATCCTTGTTTATATGTTTGATGACAAGAAGGATGAAATGATTGTGTATCCTATGTGTATGCTGTGATTTTGGTATGTAAGTAGCGCTGGCAAATGTAACTTTAGTTCAATTGTCAGCTACGTGATGTCTATCACTTTGTATTTAAGCGATTATTTAAATAAATTGTCAAAGTTATATTATGCCTATGTTAATTGATTTATGATATTTTGGTTAAAATTTTAGCAAATTGCATAACTTTAATTCTTCGCCTTTAAATAGAATTTATTATCAAATCTGTCTTCATCGAATTCGGAAATCAAATTAGTAATGCGAATAATCCTTCAGTTCCCGAAAGCACTTGTTTTTGGTATGATTCCTATATAAGAATAGAATATAGATGAGCATTTTGAATCCTCTAGGGGTAGAGGAACGGTAGTCTGATACTGGTGAAGAAAGCGTTTCCTGTCCTTAATCTGGTAAGTTAGAATAGGACATGGTTTAATTATCAAAATCTTTATTCAATAGTTTAACAGGCTCAGATACAAAATAATACAATATTAAACTGTGTTGTAACATAGTAGATCTGATATAAAACTTTCTGTGATCTAAAAAAAAAAAAAATATCTTAAAAATCCAGATTTGGATGATATCCATAATCGGATTTTATAGAACAGTTTATAATGTTTGAAGATGCGGCCGATCTTCGACTTTTAAGACCATCTTCTAACCGACTATGAATATTAACCAGTCTAAAAAAAAAAAAAAAAAATACAAGTTATTTACAAGTGAACAAATTATTCAATCAATAAGATTACCAGAATATTGATTAATTTATTGATATAGTTTAGAAACTTGTTAAATACTACTGTATTTAATGGTAACATTGTTTGTGTTGCGATATTTATTGCTAATACTGAAAATATACAGTATATGTCATCTGTGTAAATCAGTACTAGCAGTGAATATGGGACCAATATAAACAATATTAATTAATATTCAATAAGAATTGCTACTTATCAGACTTACTATGTTTTAACAGGAGCCATTAGACAGCAAGCGCTCATAAGCACTATATATAATGTAGTAGTTATTATTCAACCAGTAACGTTGACTACTTTTTTGCAAAAACATGATTACGTTCAACATAACGCAACATTTTTGCTGTTCAAAAATTTTTGTGATTGTCTAGTCTAAACAATCCGAAATGTACTCAACATCTCGCAAGACGTGCTAATACGTTTACTTAACGGTCGTTTGGTCGTCATTATGGTGGAAAAAGAAAGATGATCACTTTTTTTATTATTCTCCCTCTTTTTCTCTCTATTTAAACAAACATTTCAATGTTCCACTTAAACATTTGTCTTTCAAGCACACATAGTTCAGAGTAGAAATTTAGAGGGAAATATTAGTGTATTGTCCATTTAGTGAAATGTGTGAGAAATGTCGAGAGATTGGTAATCTAATTTTTGTGAAAAAATGAACAAAAAGAAACATAGAAAATCGAGCAAGAAGGATTTATTTTTATTTATTGTATTTTAAACTGATTTTTTGGATATATGTATATAAATTTTGTTTACATCAGTTTTCTCATAATATTTTGATAGATATATAATTACATAATATTTCTTTATACAAAAATATACATTTTTAAGTTAATTTATAATATTTTTCCTAATTTTTCTATATTTTTTTCTTTACTTTTTAATATATTTATAATTTATTTTTATTAATTTTCATAAAGTTTAAATTATTTTATCGCAATATTAGGTTTATTCGTGTCGCATGCTGTAATATGCTCCAATATGTTCCTACAATAGCATTTCAACCAATTCGTTGGATTGCGATGCGAATAAATCTAGTGAGTTTTGTGAGAAATTTTGACAGAGTAAAAAAAGGATGAAAAGAGAAAGAAGTTTAGGTGGTAACCGTGGCAACGCTAGGTAACTTATTTCACGCATGCACACTTCATTTTGGCCGACATTAACTGCGCTACTATATACTGTACCATAGTCGTGTTCAATTATTATCACAGTCGATATTTGCGATTTATTTGGAAAATACGTAAAAAGATAGAAAGCTTTAAAGTCTTGCGAGAGAATAGAGATCAGTTTCTCACTTGGTCGTCGTTCCGATTACGGAAGAACGTAACAGTCTTTGTTCGAGAATCGCTCGCTGTTCTTCGGTTTAAGTAAGTATATAATTTTGTCTTTTGTCAAAAAGTCTCACTTTTTTTCGCGTGTTTCTGCATTTACATGTTAACAACGCTTCTACTTA